TGGGCTACGGATCATAATCTTTGCGAATATTGGTTTTTTTAGAAGTAGGTAAGCACAGTGAGGGCAGGCCATGAATGATTCTCATGCCCTTCATGGAACGCAATGTGTTGAATGCCACAAAGAGGAATCTCAGTACCAGCATATATGCCAAAGCTGCTGCCATAGAAGGATCACAGAAAAGTGCATGTACGTCACGTTTGGGAAGCTAAATTCTTATTATCATATCATCTCCAAGAAGTACAGTCGCTGCTCATCGCATTTCATTCTCGGTGTATGCATTTTGCATAGTGGTTATCACCACCAATGTGCCAAAGATGTTCATTTCTCACATTATGTTTTATTTAATGATGAGGTGCATTTCATGTGAAATCTAGAGTTTAACAAACACAAGGTGCATTTACAGAGACATGTGAACTCCCATGTAGTGAGACCACATAATGTCCAGCATCGCATCTCAGTGAATGTTTGATCGGTAAATGTTTACTCGGGCCTTACCGTTGCCATTACCTTAACATCAGCAAATCATCTCAGCTTTTTGGAACACGTTCTACCAGGCTTACTTCACTCTGTGCCATAAAGTGTGAGATGCAAGATGTGGTTTCAATACAATGAGGTGCCTTCTCATTATGGAAGATGTGTTCAGAGACATTTGATTATGTCATTTAGTCAATGATGGACTGAGCATGTTGGACCAGTTGCCTAGCCCCCACACTGTCCAGATTTGAGTAGCCTAGATTTCTTTCTTTGGAGAGCATTTAAAGCTGCTGTCTATGAATCACTTATCAAGTCTGAAATGAATTTGGTTGCAAGAATTATCTGTGCTGTGGTAGATATCCAAGCATAACAATGTTTTTGACCATGTCCACCAATCCATGGTCTGTCTGTGTAAGGCATGCATCACTCGTAATGGTGCAAACTTCGAATATCTTTTGTAACACTTTCAAATGGTAACATCTACAACATCACATGTAATATTTATGAACAATAAATACATCTGGTAATCTGTATTCTTGTTTCCTTTATTTCTTGCACCTCTGATACCATTTTGCCGCAGCCATTGTTGCTGATATATCACTGTTGGCAATGCTGCTGATATATCACTGTTGGCAATGCCGCTGATATATCACTGTTGGCAATGCTGCTGATATCAGCACTGTTGCCACTTGGAAAAAATTAGGGTGAAAATTAGCGTTTTAAGAGTTTTTAATTAATATCTCTGGTTTTAGCTATATATATATAAAGTGTGCCAGCGTTCATAGTAGTATATTAAAAGCACACCATAAGGCAGTAACTGTAATTTATTTATTACGTCTTATGTCAATTAATAGTTAAAGGTATGCAATTCACTAATGTGTAAGTCATTGTCCAGTGCGTGGATTACTTTTTGAATATGATGCCACCTCTGCACAATACATCATCTAGGTGGCGTTGGAAGCTTGCCATAATTCGGCGTAACGTATTCCCTGGGACATTGCAGACGGCAGTTCGGATGGGATCCTAAAACTCAGGAATGTTGGCACAACGTGTTCGGAAAACTTCTTGCTTCAGGTGCCCCCAAAGTCTGCACATGAAAGATCAGGTGAGTGAGGCGGCCAGGAAATGTCACCAAACCGAAAAATTACTCTACCTGGAAATGTCTGTCACAATAGTCCATCCATGTGGAACTTTCTCATAACGTCTCAAGTTGAAATGTAACACCAAGTTATAACAATTACATTAAACGAAAGCAGTTAAATTTTACACGACATAACCTACTGAAAATACTACAAAATTTTATAAAACCTATACAACAAAATCAAAATTTGTTTTTAAAAAAAAAAAAAAAAAAAAAAAAAGCTACTGAAAATACTAAAAATTTTTTTAAAACCTATGCAACAAAATCAAAACTAGTTCGTTTAAAAAAACCTACTGAAAATACTAAAATTTTTTTTTATAAAACCTATATAACAAAATCAAAATTGGCTCGTTTAAAAACCTAAACGTTTTACAAAATACTGAGAAATTTTATACAAAAAAATTTTAATATATGGTCATTTCATTTTGTTCAAGATTTCAGACAGATCTTATCAAGGAAAAAGTGCCTGAAATCTCCAACCAAGCTGATGACCCAGGCACGTTTCGTCAAGCAAAGCCATTAAGACTGAAAACGAATATCATATTAATAAAATTATTAAATTAATTCATCTATTCCTAGCATTGTCTCAATAGTTTCGTCTCTTTTCCCGACGTGTCTCAATATTTTAAAATAATTAAAATAAACAAAAAGATTAAAGTTATAAACTTAAAACAAGGGGAAAAAATTTTTAATCTAAAAAAGAAAATCATCTAAATGATGTAAGAAAAAAACCTACATACATATATATATATATATATATTTGAAAAAAAGTGAATATCGACCTTTTCCAGGACCCAGAAAGAATTGTAGAAAGTTTGGTAACGATTGCTATAGTAATGACTGAGTTAATCCCATACAAACTTACAGACTTCTTTATACCATTTGAATTCTTCAGATTTTGCAACCGGAAGTTGGTTAATTTATTTATTAGGATAATTAATACTTGTATTAAGGAATATTGCTCATTTCACTGTAATTTTTTTATATTATGTTTTAGTTATATAAAAGTTTTGCATGAATTTTTTTTAGGAAACAAATTTCTTTCTTAACTTCCTTTATACCATTTGAATTCTTAAGATTTTGCAATGGGAAGTTGGTTAATTTATTTATTAGGATAACTAATACAGTCAAAAGTCTTTAATCTGGACGTCCATAATCCGGGCCTCAAAGCTACAAACTTTCTGTGCATGCGTAAACGCATAATGCATTTACGCATGCACGTTTAATGTATAACGGACGGTATAAGCTTAGCTAAAATTATCTATTTCAGTTAATGTTGCAGACTGCGTTGTTCCTTAATATTCGAATTGGATTCGGATTATTATTTTTTGCAGACTGTTAGAGCAATTTTACAAAAGTAAGCTTAAACTTTCGATTATGTCAAAATTAATTTCCGATTCGGGAGCTGCCAAAGGATCTACAAAGCGAAAGCATGTTTCGATGTCCATCAAACAAAAAGTGGAATTGCTGCAAAAAGTGGATAAAGGCATATCCTTTGTTTCTCTAACCAATCCGAAATCTGTTTATCAATTTCACGCTGCTCTTCGGGGGGGGGGGGCGTAGCGGCACGCAATGAACTGGAAGTTGATTTGTCAGCACTATCCTTATCTTCAGGGCAGATGCTTTTATTTTATTCGGCTTATAATTCCTTACTAAATGTAGTATTTCATCTCGATGTACTCCATCTTTGATATGATTTAAATCAAATTCCTCGTCATTATAAATATCACGAATACACATCAAATAGTTTTCTGGTTGCAATTTTCTAATTTCGACTATGCGTAATGATGATTTAAGCATGCGCACATTGAAAGAAATGTTTAATAAAGTAAACAAATAAATATTAAGCTTTTTTTTTTTTTGGTAAATTTTTATACCCTTTAGATCATAACTGCTCTTTATTTCATAAATTACGGTTTCATATTTTTAATTTTATAATTTCTGCATGCCATCTTACCAGATTTAAATTGATGATCTATAATCTGTAAAAACCGATAATCCGGAATTGCCAAAGTCCCGATGAGTCCGGATTAAAGACTTTTGACTGTATTTGTATTAAGGGATATTTCTTATTTCACTGTAATTTTTTTAACATATAATACTTTTTATGGAAATTTGGGTTTTTTCTTTTATTGTTGTTGTTTATTTTTGTTTTGATAAAGTTGTTCTGCATAGTAATATTCTGTGCAGTTTTTAAATTTAATGTTTGGGGTTACCATTTAGGTATTTTCCTGGTATATTTAAAAGTTAGACAAAGGCTGGCCACATAGCAGCTAGTTATTAGATAAAATAACAAAGATGGAATTTTTTTTTCTTAAAAGGGTAATCAAAAATTAAAAAAAAATATTAATGGGAGAAACAAATAAAAAATTTTTAATCCCCCTTTGCTTAATGCTTCAAATAGATCTCTTCAAGGTGTTAGTGTTTAAAACATTAAAACGAGATGATTAAATGAGTGCCGAACACACGTTTCATTCTTCCTGCCATTATGTGACTCAAAATGCTCATCTTGTGCTCTAGTAACTTTGTTTATGTTTTCAATATTAACTTCTAGCCCATGGTTTTGATTACTATACTGATGATAACAACAAGTAATATAAAAAAAAAAAAAAAAAAAAAATTAAAGTCAATTCCTACTTCTGAGAATTTTTGCTACGTTTATGGGGCATTACATCTGCTTCATACAACTCTATAAAACAACAATTCTTTAATTGCATACACTTTAAAAATCTTTAGAACTCTGTTTTACTGTTGCCACTTATTTTTGCTAACTATGACAATCCCATTTGTTACAGTCATGTACTGTTATTTAATTAATTTTTACAATACGTGAGAATTCCTAAATAAAGGGTCACTATTTGTACTTAATATGTGAAATTTTTAATTTTAATTATCTTTACTATCTGAAAAACTGTATTAACATCAAGTGTCATCCACTACAAGTTTAAAAAATGTATTTGAACTTGAGTGGATGAATAAAAAGTATTTTATTAATGATTGAAAATTTGAATGAGGTAAAGAGTGTGAGCAAATTAAAAAGTAAATAAGAATTAAAAAAAAAAAAAAAAAAGCCCCAAAGTCTTTCCCAGCAACACAATCTAGCCATAATTTCCTTCAAGTTTCATGAGCCTGCATGAATTTATTAATGGTTGTTACACAAATAATAATAGAATTAAAAATCATATGTTGCAGGTTCCAGTGTTCGTAACTCGAGACATGTTCAGCATTTGAACATATTTTTTGCTAGGAAAAAATGTCTGCAAATAGAATTTTAGTAAAGCACGCAATCCAACATTTTCACATAAAAGTACGCATTGTTTAAAATTTGCTTAAATACCAAAAATAACATTTTCTTGATTGCAAACACAGCAAATAAAAAGTAGAATAAAATAACAAAAAATAGATATTTTATTCTTTGCTTAGCAAGTTAAAAATTAATGAGCTTCTTAATGGCATCCAGACATCGCCATTTATTTGGAATATAGAATGGCTCGAAAATATGAGGAAATGGTGCATCATAGCCAGTGACTCGTTGAATGGGTGCTTCAAGATTCAGGAAACATTCATTCTGTTGAAAAAAAAATATATATATTTATTTATTTCTTTAAATGCACAATTGAAATCTTACTTGGGCAGTTTTATAAAATTTATAAACACAAGAGTGTTTCAAATTAAATAAGCGTTCAAATAACTACAGTAACTATTAAATAACTACAGTCGAACCTAGAGATACAAGCACCTCTACATACGAGAAATTTTAGATACTAGGAAAGTATGAGTGAAAAATTCGTCTCTAAATACGAGCACTGACTCGAGTAATGAGACAGGCTGTGGGTATGTGTGGCGTGATATATGTGTTCCTGATTTGGCTTGACTCAGGGAATACCCTCGCTAGATCACTCAGTGTTCTCTGATCTACGTGTTTGTATTCTTGAGAGTGAATTGGTTTTTTACATTTAACGTGAAAATAATTATTTCTCAATGCCACCCCAGAAGATTGTTGCCTCAGATAGTGCTGCAAAGAAAAAGAAGGAAGCCATGGCCATTGAAATTTAGAAAGAAATCATAGATGAACATAAGCATGGTGTAAGAATGATGGAATTGATGAAGACTTATGGCCGTTGGACATTGATGAAGGACATTCTGAAGAAGAAAGAAATTAAAAAACTTGATGTGGCCAAAGGAATTACCGCTACTTCCAAGCACCTTACAAAACTCCTAGAAGATGCTATTCTTAGCATCTTAGCTGTTGCTGGTGTGGATTAACGAGAAGTAGTTAAAAGGTGATTTGGTGGTGGAAGCTATCATTTGAGCTAAGAATCTGTACTTGGACCTTCTCCAAAAAACACCAGGTTCGTTGACTGAAGTGGAGATGGGAATGGGATTTTTGGGGGTGCGGAATGGATTAACTGGGTTTCCATTATTTTCAATGGGGGAGTTGGTTTCGAGGAAAAATTTGCTCTATGGGCTTAATGCCGGAATGGATTAAACTTGTATTTCAAGGTTAAACTGTACTATATTTCATGTGCCTCCTCAAGCCTTTTTGCATCATGTTCTTCCCCCTTCTTTGCATACAGAGAACCAGCTTCCCTAAATTTTGAAATGGATTCGTCCACATAATAATTTTGTCTTACTAATGTAGACAGACTCTTGCAAACTACCTGCAAAAAGTCACAACAATTTTTTTTTTTTTTTTTTTTTTTTTTTATGTACAAGAAAGTAGTACAAGAAACAACTCACAACAGTAAAGCAAACATAAATCTACATTCAGTCTACAATTTTGCCCAGGTGACTGTAAATTCACATTCTCTGCTTATTTAAGGATGATTTGTGCCCCAATGAGTAGCAGAGACAGTAGTAAGGATGGGTAAGATTCAAGTTACACGGAAGTAGAAAATATCTTGTTAGAACTGTGATGTCAATATTTGATCCCGCCCTCTCTTTAAAAGTTGAAGTATGCTATAAAGAAATTTAAAAAGCAATTAATCTTATTGACCAGAAAGCAATTAATCTTATTGGCCAGACTCTTACTTCAGAGCTATTAAAAGCTGAGGGATCTACTTGCATTCTGCTAATCAAGGATTTAATTTAGTTTATCTGGGATTATGAAACATTCCCACCAGAATGAAAACTTAGTACCATCTGTTTGACACATAAAAAGAGAGATTGTTTGACTGTAGTAATTATATAGGAATTAAGTCCTCTTTGCATATTCTAAAGAATTCTTTCAATTATTCTTTTTAACAGAGTTTTACCTCATGATGATAACGTAATAAGCAATTATCGATACGGCTTTAGGAGGGAAAGATCGACTGTTGAGCCTATTTTTGAAAAATGCAGAGGATCTGGTATCGATATACACTGTAGAGACATTAGTTTTTTTTTTTTTTTTTTCTTTTTAAAAGCAGGAGAGATGAAAAATGATCAAAGTCCTCGCCGGGACTCGAACCACGGACCTCTCTCGAATACATGCCGAGCGTGCTGACCACTACACCACGAAAGCATGCTAAGAAATATCTTATAACACTGTCTTTTTATCGATTTCAGAGCTGCATATGATTGCAATAATAGGGAAGTATTTATACAGAGCATGTATGAACTAGAACAGAAGAACTTCAGAAAACTTGCTGCACTTATGGCTTTGACTCTTAAGGAAACTAAGGTACAAATTTGTTTACAAGGTGACCTTATAGAACAACTTGAGGTCAGGAATGGAGTCAGACAAGGGCATGCCTCCTGTTTTATATTGCACTAAAAAAAGTTGAGAGATTCTAGGATTAATACTACAGGAAATACAGTTAACTCTTCAATTACTGGCTTATGCAGATGATATTTGCATTGTTGCCCATACTGCTTCTACATTTAAACAGGCATTCTTGGCATTGGAAAAAAGTGTAAAAAGATTTAATCTATCTGTTAACAAAAACGGAACTATATATATATATGCCTTGCTTCAAAAATGACTAACCACTTACTTATTTAGAAATCAGTAGCTTTAGATTTGAAAAAGTCTAGAGTTTCACTTATCTGGGAGAGGAGATGAATTGTAAAAATTAAACAACTTCTGAAATACTTAAAAGAGTTTCTGCTGCAAATAGATGTTTTCATGGCCCAAACAGCTATTGGGTTGGCAACTAAGTAATTGCGGATTTTTTTAGAAAATCAAAGACAATTTTTTCATGGAACTAAATAACTTTATTCTATAATGCATTGCCCATTTTTATCAATGACTTTTTGCCATCTTTCAGGCAGCATCATAATCCCACGTTCATAAAACTTCTGGTTTTTATTAGCAAAAAACTGAATCAGGTACGATTTGACATCATCATCATTATTGAAATTTTACCATTCAAGGGTTTTGTAAAGATTGAAACAAAAAGTAATCACGGTGCAAGTTTCAGGATTATATGTGATGTGGCAAAACATCCAACCAGCTCCAATAATTTTTGCCGAGTGCCAAAAGATGTGCGTGGCCTTGCATTGTCATGATGGATACAACACCTTTTTGATTTGTAATTCAGGCCGCTTTTCTTCAACTGCATGTTTAAGTTTGTTAGTTGTTCAACGTAGACATCAGAATTGATCGTTTGGTTGGGTGGTAAGAGTCAAAAGTAGACAATTCCTTTATAATCCCACCAAACTGATAACAAAACCTTCTTTTGAAATATCAGCTTTGATGTTGTTTGAGTTGGTTCACCCTGGCCTGCTCCACGATCTTTTCCACTTGATATTGTTGTAAACAACCCATTTTTCATCGACAAATTATCAGTCGTTTTAAAAATGGATCATTTTCATTACGTTTCTTTAGTTCTTTCTTTAGGGATCATTTTCATTACGCAAATCGGCAGCTGTTAATGCGTTGCGTTAAATGCGTTTCCTTTCATGTTCGTGAGGAACCCATGTATCGAGTTTTTGAACATAGCCAAGTTGTTTTAAGTGATTTTCAATGCATGTATGTGGGATACATGAAGCTTCTCTGCAATCTCACGGTGTTGTACTGTGACGCATTCCAAATCGATTATTGCTTTGATTAGGTCGTCATCAACTTCAACTGGAGGACCAGAGCGTTTTTCAACTTTGAGTGAAAAATCACCAGATCGAAATTTGGCAAACTAATTTTGACACTGCCGTTAACTTTTAATGAGCTTACGATGCGTTTTTCCTTTTGCAGAAATAAAAAAAGCAAAATATGACGAAAGTTCTTTTGATTTTCCATTTTTTCACGAACGCCAACAAAACTACGCAACCAATCAAAAAACGTTTTTTACTGATTGACAGCTGAATTGCCAACTATCAAATAACAAAATGTGCTTTACATTTGTACTACGTCTGCAGCCCTAAAAATTCAACTGAAGCCATCTATGAGTGAAATCCGCAATTACTTAGTTGCCAACCCAATATTTTAAATCCAGCTTTCTCATGTTAAATTACTTCTTTACAACAGTCTTATAATGCTTGTCCCGACTAATATGTTGAAAGCTTGGGCGTTGACTATATGCAATGAGGAAGCTTTTCGGACTTTGAGAGAAGGATTTTGCATTGCCTTAATTGGTTGGATCCATGAGAATGGATTGTGGAGAACATTCAACCTACAGCTATACAAGATCGATAGACAACCTACTGTACTAAAATTCTTCAGACTATAGAGACTTAAATGGGCTGGTCATTTGGCCAGAATGAATGAAGATGGATGTTGTTAGAAAATCTTTCTAACAAAAGCCCATGAGAACCAGATCTCAGGGTACACCCCCCCAAGTGATATGGAACGATTGTGTTGAAAATAATCCAAACATTCTAAACATCAAAACTGGAAAACTGTTGCCAAAAGCAGCAATGCTTGGCAGTGTACTTAAACTGAAGTAGCGAAAAGGTTAGTCACAACAAGTTTCGCTATCGAGTGTGCATGATGTTGTTTCTACTAGCTGTTTGAATTCTGAATCTTGGCTTCACATTCTTGCTGCCGAAGCTTAATATCACTCCGGTGTAGGTTTCTGAGGCAACCTGCTGGGTTAAATTAATTTACTACTCAAACTACTAGCATATCTTTAAATTTAGCTTAGTTTACCATTACCTTTATTTTTATCGCCACTAATGGATGGTGAATTTGTAAGTACAAAGACTGCACCGTCTATAAATAAATGAGTTCAATAAAAGTGACTTTTACTTGCTTCGTCTGTTGTATTCATTTTATGAGCTTTACGATAAGTCACCAACAGACTTTCAGGTAGGTCCAATAGCAGTGCATGCTAGCCAAAAAAACTAGATCTTACAGATTGATTGTCAAATTGTCACTAGGGCAGAATCGCTGATGTCTTTCATCATTATGATTTGAAAGCATTCCATGTCGCAGGGAATGAGAATAACAATACACAACTTGTATTCAAATTTGTTTTCAATTGACAATTATGTAGCTTCATTTTCAGGCAGTTCCTTGTTACCCATTTGGAACTACACAAAAATGAAGCTGAAACAAATCTAAGGTTAAGAAGCTGAAATGAAAGAAGCCTCACTCTAACCTCTGCTTCTGTAAAAACATTATATATATATGTTTTTATGGAAGAAAAATAACCAGTCTGTTTCTATTTTTTTTTTCTTTCTAAATTTAAACACTGCAAATCTAAGTCAGCAGAACATCTAAGAGCTCAAGGCTTTGGGTCCCTATGCAGCTGCATTCCTTGCATACCCCTATTTATTCCACTGGTTCTGAATGGCATTCAAATGTTTGCAGCTGTGTCAGAAATTTCTGGGTATTCTGCATGAATCTACACCCAAAAATTTAGAAGCTGCTGTTGCTTAACTGTTCGAGTCCCAGGGGGAATTGAAAAAACACTGTCGAAGAATCCCAAACAGCGCAACCACGCTTTCTCTTAATGCATACGAAAAGACACCCAAGCAGCGCGGATAGCGCCTATTGTATTTTATGACAAGAAATACCAAGGGCACGATAGTGCTTTGTTTATTTTACATTGATGTGCCCTTGATTTAAATCAAGTGCCCGCATTATCAACATCAAGTGCATTGCCAGTTGTCCACAATGTTCGAAATGTACTGGGTTTTCTCGACATAAAATCTCAACAGCGTGATCACGCTGCTTGGACTCAAATGGTAAATTTAGATTTTGATGTCAAATCTGTTGCTAAGTCGATCAGTTGTTTTTTTTTCCTGTGTTGACAAGCCTTCTAATTTATCATAGCATTTGAATAAACATTTTATCTGGTCAGACTTGGTTTTCGCTTCAGAGAAATGCTCTTTCATAGTTTTCGTCAACTGGAAAAGTTATTCCATTGCATAATTTTTAACACTGTGTATAAATTCATTTTCCATTAGAAACCAGTTTAGTTTCACAAAGTACTGTTTGATATATGTTGATATATGATGATCACATGGTTAAGTTTTAAAACTAGTCTATAATTGAATGTATCTTTATATTTTTCAGTTCACAAACACTAGTCAACTAGTGCGAGTGCTTTATAATTTTTTTTTTTTTTCTTTATTTTGTCTCTGGAGTTTGAAGATCACTGTTGTAGTCTAAAATAAATAACCAAGTCTTAAAAAATTTAAAATGGCATTTTTACTTTAGACTTAACCCTTTCATTCCGAATGGTACACATGTGTACCACTGATATTTAAAATTACCTGCAGGACATATTTAAGATTATAACTAAACAAAAAGTGTACCACTATGGTATTTTAAGTACCACAACATCATCCCAGTGTAAAACACCATACGGATTTCACTCAAGGTTATGTTTAATAAACCAGTGAGTGCCTGTATTACACATTTTACAGTAAATTTGCACAAGAATAAACTTGATTTTATACATAATTTTATTCTGTAATGCTTTATATTTAACTATATTTAGAAAAGAAAGAAAATATCAGATATGTATGATTTACTTAGTTTAGAAATTATTTATGTTTTTGTTTTTCTGGTATATATATTTATATATGTACCAATCAGTATACATATGTGTACCATTATTTATTACCAGTACATATGTGTACCATAATTTAGGCAAATTATTGTTACAGACAATAAATTATGCGACTTTGGGTACCTGCACGGCCAACTGCAAATTGTGGCATGAATAGCATGCCACCGCAATTCCCTATGAAAAACAATGAACAAAATAACAAAACTACAATAAGTAACCTTATAATAATAAAAATTGCTTTTGTTTTTGTCCGAAAATCTATTATTTATATTCAGGGATGAAAGGGTTAAGGTACTGTCCTTTTCAAAAACGGGCATTTGGCAACATTAAGTACAGATCACATAATATGAAATCACATAAAATAACTGAATATATTAATATCACTTAAAAAATTAAGTATTTGATAGCAAACGATAATGTCATAGCATGAGTTCGGTTTCAAATTATAATTATTTGAAAAAAATAAAACTACTTTTCATTTAAATGCAAACCACAATTCACCATTCTATGCTATCATTTATAAAAATGACTACATACAAAACAGGAATTTTATCTTTATTCAAAAATACAAATATAGCCAAACTTCATATTGACAAGAGGGGAATTCAGAAAAGTTCAAAGAGGCACAATTAAATTTTCCAAAAGCCACAAGTCTACGTTTACGTCATTTTAAAAGTAGTGAAACATGTTTCAGATGTAAAGAAACATCTCTTTCTAAACAATCATTCAATGACAGTTTTTTTTTTTTTTTTTTAAAGGAATGTGGTGATGTGTTGAAGACAAAGCGAAGACTTTCATAGTGTGTTTGTTTTTTCTAATTATAGCTTGCTGTGGTAAAAAAGTGCTCCTTTTTCAGTTTTTAAGCCCCCTGATTTTTTTGCAATGTCATCTTGTAAATCTTCATCTATCACAGATTTGTACTGCTCATGAAACTTTGGATTCTTCTTAAAACTGCCCCAAAACAACTCAAATCGTTTTTTCCCCCATCACCTCAAAATCATCCCATAATTTCCTTGCAAACTCATTTCTTAGCAAGCAAGCCACATATTTGTTGTCCTTAAAAATTTCAAAAATGCTTGATATTTTAAGAAAGCATCATCTTCCATGACCGTCATCAGATGTATTAGAAATCCCCAAAGCTTCCAACCGCCATACATTTCTGATCAATTTGGATGTCAAATCAGCTTCTAAATTACCTTTAATTTATTTTAAATTCTGTATAATGTTGTTGTTGTTGTTTATGCTCACTTGTCTCACAAAGTCAGCCTTAAGCCCACGACATTCCTCATGGCAAGGAACGTTAGATTATGCCTGTCATTGGCAACAGCCTTAAGCTCCTAACAGGTGACAGTGCGATTTGACTCAGTTCTGCCTCCAATTTTGATAGAAAGCAAAAGCACCCTGACAAGGGATGGACCCCTTCCCCGAAAGCCCACAAGAAGACTTTCAGCTCGCCACATAGTTAGAGTGCTGTCATGATGCACCAACACTATACATTTACAAACATCCGTGCCTTCTACGAGATTCGAACCCAGGCCCTTCGCCACGGCAGTCAGAGATGATAACCACTGTACCTGTTGGGCGGCCTGTATAATGTTAAATTCTTCTGATGCATTACATACATTCATATAATCATATTCACATACATACATACATACATTCCTATTCATTCTTGGCATATATTCTGTTCATATCTATCACCCCAATTTAGTTTCTACCATTATTAATGATTCAGAAATTCAGCAGACGTTTTCTGTAAAGCATCCAAAAGTGTCCAGCCATCCATTTTTATAGCTAACTTTTAAAGATTTTCTTTACAAAATTGTTTGACAGAATCAGTATAACATTTTTATCTATTTATTACATTTTTAGATAGCATTACTAAGTTCCTTAAGAACTAAGAAATGAAATCAAATAATTGCCTTTGGACATCGATCAGTTTAATCTTTTCAATAGCTTAGTAAAAAGAAGCGAGATAAATTAATTACTTTCTTTTGGGCAATAAGTAGTTTTAATTTACCATATTTCATACATATCTTTTACTTGCATTTATTAATATTTTATCTGCAGTACCATTTGTCTACGCGAGCACCGTGGCGAGATGCCACCCTGGATATCTTATTCAAAGAGCTATCTTATGCATATTAAATTTACTAAATTAAGAAGTAAATAAATGAGAAACAGTTTTACATGATCAAAGATAGTTTTATATAACTGAAGAACAGTTTACATTTAACAATTTAAATCACAAATTAGTTATGACAGATTTGATCATTTATTCTAATAACATGAAAATGTACTACACATAGATGTTTCAAAATTAATATTGCAATATATATTTACCTGTATAGTGGCTGCAATTTCTGCTCCAAAACCTCCCGTTAGAGGAGCTTCATGGGCAACAAGAAGACGCCCAGTCTTTTTCACCGACTAAGAAAGAATTTGAAAAATTAGTCTTAACAAATTACACAATAAAATGTTTAATACCTAATCATTACATCTGCAGCACCATTGAAGCAATTTAAAAAAGACAGAAAACATTAACACTTTCTGTAACATTTAATATGGCTTAATTTCATTAAACAGCAAGCCATAATAACAACCAAATTATGGCTCGCTGTTTAATGAAATTAAATTAATTTGAGATTTTATACTTATAAACAGATGATAAATGAATAAAACATTGCTCTCAAACTCAAATAGCATGTGGGCCAAATGCACAACCTGCAGATGAACCAGATTTTTTTTTTTTTTTTTTCCAAAATGGAAAATTTTAACAAAGTAAAAAAATATTTTAAATAAATTTTAAAATTTCGTTTGCTAAATACTTATCAAAACATACATAAACAATAGCTATTAAAAAGCAAACCAATTCAAATTTATATTTATTTCACATCTGAAATCTTAAAGCTCAGTTCCTGCAAGACATTTTTGTTGGTTACACTTTATCAGAGCTAATATATATATTAGGTTTATATAGCTCACGTATATCAGAGCTAAAAGACTGCTGACTATTGAAAATATGAGAATATTATTAATATGACTATTGAAAAAATATTATTAATTATACATGCAACACGCACATCGCAATCTTCTTATTCTGATGCGTGCATGTGTCTCGTGAGGCACAACAGAAAGAATTTCCTTTTTTCCCCTCTCTCTCTCTTAATGGCAAAGAGGTTTGTATATTTTGAATTATGTCATCTACAAAGCACAATTTTGATTGGTTATTGCTTTCTGATGATAGTTTCATTCTTTTAGAAATATGGTTTGGCAACAGCTTTTCATTCATTGCTTTGGATACTGCAGTGCTGACTGTTTGCTCTTCAAAATATGAGATTTATTGCTTATTTCGTTGTAATTTTTTATATTATGTTTTAATTATATATGATTTTAATTATATAAAAAGTTTTGCATGATTGTTTTTAGGAAACAAAGTTCTTAACTTCCTTTATGCCATTTGAATTCTTAAGATTTTGCAACGGGAAGTTGATTAATATATTTATTACGATAATTAATATTTGTATTAAGGGATATTGCTTATTTTATTGTAATTTTTTTATACGTACAGTCAAAAGTCTTTAATCCGGATGTCCATAATCCGGACCTCAAAGCTACAAACTTTCTGTGCATGCGTCACCTTTACGCATGCGCATAATACGTTTACGCATGCACGTTTAATGTATAACAGACGGTATAAGCTAAAATTATCTAATTATCTATTTCAGTTAATGTTGCAGATTGCGTTTTTCCTTAATCTTCTAATTGGATCCAGCTTATTATTTTTTGCAGACTGTTAGAGCAATTTTATAAAAGTAAGTTTGAACTCTCGATTATGTCAAAAAGAATACAAAGCGAAAGCATGTTTCGATGTCCATCAAACAAAAAGGTGAATTGCTGCAAAAATGGATAAAGGTATATTGTTTTTCTAACCATTCCAAAATCTGTTTATCAATTTCACGCTGCTCTGAGGGGCTGGTCTCTCCCCCATAAGCATTGCGCCAATCCGACACTGCGTGAGCGAAACTGTCAATTTTTTCACTTGAACTGTAATATACTACTGCAGTTTTAGGTCATTAACTTTAATTTCTAATTTTAACGCTTATAACAATGTGAAGATTTTAAATAAGTGACGGACAAAATGATAGCGTCACGTGCAAAGAAAAGTAAAATAAACATTTACATTATAAAAAGAATGCGTTGACACTTTTTCGTTTTTTTCTTTGTATTGTCTTATCTTTATCTATTTTTAGATACATTGTGTAAAAATATTTGGTAATTATAAAATTATTATAATAAGTTAAAGAAATATGAAAACTGGTAAAATTTTTTGCAACCCCCTGTTGCCGGTTCCACTACCCCCATGGAGGTCGAGACCTACAGTTTAAGAAACTCTGTTCTAGAATATTATTTATGTTCATTTTTAACATTATTTATGTTATTTTTATAATGTAAATGTTTATTTTAATAATATAATATCAAAAAGGAAAACAATTCAAATTTATATTTATTTCGCATCTGAAATCTAAAGCTCGGTTCCTGTAAGACATTTTTGTTTTGATTTTAAAATCTTTGCAACATCATAATTGAAATGACTTTGCAGGCTGCAAAAATTTGCTTTGGATTGGCACATGTGGTCCAAAGGCCACCTGTTTGAGATCACTGGTATAAAAGTTGACTAAAATAACACCGACGCACGAATGATGATTATGTAAAATAGATAACTGTTGACAAGAATTAATTTGTAAAATAAAATTTTACTTACATATCAGTTAAGTGAAAATAATGTGAACTCACACTTCAAATACCGTAATTTCTGGAAGAAAGGCCGCATCAGCGTAAACGCTGCACTCAAGAAAAATGGTGAGAAAAAATTAAAATTACGCAGAAACACCACACTTGAGAAAAATGGAGGGGAAAAAGTTAAAATTACACAGAAACGCCGCAATAGATTAAATTGTGCGTGACATCGTCGTGGGCCATATAGATGCAAAATCTCAACCTATGTCTTGATATATGACATATATATCAGTTAAGAAAAATGCATGAAATGAAACCATAACTCAAAAATAAATTAAAGGTAAGAAATGTTGAAAATATATTTACGTTCATGAATATACTTACATTTACTCACTAAAGAAGTCCATATTTGTAATACTCAGACTATATTATAAAAAATGTTGCAATAACGAAACATTAAATTTGGTTTACAAAAGGATATTTTAAATTTTACTTACAAAAGGAATTACAGCAAACTATATATCATATGAAGCCATATGATAAAATTTAAAGGATATTTTAAATTTTACTTACAAAAGGAATTACAGCAAACTATATATCATATGAAGCCATCAAAATCTAATTCTTCCCCTTTCTGAATTAAAAAGATTTAGTAAATCCTGATCTAAGTCGAAGTCTTCCGGATCGTCACATTCATCCTCTTGGTTTACAGTCTCTTTATTTAAAGATATAATTTCAGCTTCTTTGAATCCTGCTATTATTGACGATGTTTTTACCGATTTCCCTGCACTTCCTGCCCACTTTGCAACTTCTTCATAAGATGCTCAACGAATTTTACCGTTTTTGGTATACATATGCAATCCTTCACTCATCCAACACTCCCACCGCTTTCGGACTTCAGCTTTGAAGGATTTATTACCCGACAAATCTAATGGTTGTAAGATTTTTGTCAAACCACCAGGAATTATTGCTACCGTCATAAACAATTTTTGACACCTGGATGAGCATGCATGAAATCCATTATCAATAACCCTTTTGGTTGGAAAAAAGATCCCTTACGACACTGCCAAACTTTTTGTAGCCACTCATGCATGATTGTTTCGCACATCTAGCCGTTCTCGTTTGCACACATAATTACGTCATTAGGAAAATCTTTCTTCAGAATAGTTTTCCATTTAAAAATGGTCATTGGCTTTAGCTTGTCACCATTTGTGGCACAAGCTAACACACATGTAAATGACATTCCTTTATGCCCCGTCGTAAGCACAGATACAGTTTTTGCACCAGTTTCATCAACAGTTCTGTTTGCAGTAGAGTCGAAAGCTAACGGTGTTTCATCCATATTTATTATCTGTGACCGAAGAAGTTTTCTTTTGTCAATAATATTGTCCAATTTTAGAAAGATGCCTTTTTATCCTGCCAGTCCATTGGTAATTGTGCCCGATGTTGTTTATACGCACCGAATATTTTTTCTTTTCATAAATATGCTATACCAGCAAGGCCTCTTTGAAATCATTTAGTTCATTGCTTTGCTATAAATTTTACTTGTAAGCGAATTTTTACAGTCGAAATGCCATTCCTTTTTTTCGTTGCTCTTATCCAGTTTGCAGGTCGTCCTCTAGATTCGGCTACTTACGTACCACTTCTTTGGCTCGGTTTCGTTGTGGCATATTTTTAGTTCTTCTTTTTCAGTTCTCCAATGTCGAATAATCTCTCGTCCACTTCAACTCTTAAGCTGCTGCTCTATTTTCCATTTGTTCAGCACGTGAAATACATTAAGCATAAAACCAGTAGTATAGCTTCTGTGCTGTTTAGGTGCCATTTTCAAAAATTTTCTGCTCCCTTCTTACTTAAAAACTATCCAATAAGTACTTGTACCCAAACTGATGGGATCTGTGTCTGGCAGAATGACAAGAAAAATCGATTCATGCTGAAGGGGAAATACATCAGAGTTCGTTATTGCGAGGCAGGTGGAGTCATGTCTGCCTTTGAAAAAAATTGCAGAAAAGGCAGGGGAGGGGAAAGGATGGGTCCTGGAAGATTCATCAAATGGCAGAGTAGAGAGACTATTCAAAATGATGAGAATGCTGATTTGAAAGGGGGAATAATGTTATTGTTCTGAGATCCTGTTTAGGGTGAATAAGGCATGTAGGTCAGTTCAAGGGAAAGAATGTAAACAAAATAACGTTCGCAAAAAGGAACTGAGTGGTCTTTTGTGTGGGAACAACTGAGTGTTCTATGTACAATGACAAGGCCATCCAAACTATGTACAATGACAAAGTTATTCTAACTATGTACAATGAAAAAGTTATTCAAACTATGCACAATGACCATCAAAGGAAATATTTTATTTTTAGTGCACCTAAATGCCGCATGGGTAGAAACGCTGCACCCGCTGAAAATTTAAGTTTTAAACACGTAAACACTGCGGCGTTTCTTCCAGAAATTACGGTAACTAAGACTTTAAAATCTTTGCAACATCATAATTGAAATGACATTGCAGGCTGCAGAAATTTGCTTTGGATTGGCACATGTGGTCCAAAGACAACCTGTTTGAGATCATTGGTATAAAAGTTGACTAAAATAACATTGATGCACGAATGATTATTATGTAAAAAAGATAACTGTTGACAAGAATTAATTTGTAAAATAAAATTTTACTTATATATCAGTTAATTTAGAAGTCAAACAACAAAAATTTTCCAACTGAGGATGATGGTTCGGTAAAACCATCGAAATTAGTCCTGCGAAAATTTCAAAATATAATGGTAATTTTTGTAGTTTGACTTCTAAAGTAACATTTGTTTGGTGTGTTATTCTATCTTAATTACATATCAATATATAATGAATTGTTAACCAATTTAAAGCACATCCAAATATTTAATGAACTAAACATCATCAATCAAATTCTCATCTACAGACATACAGCATTTTTAATCCAAAGGAGCAATTTGCCCTAAAAAACTATTATTTTTGTTTTGGCACTTTGCATGGGTTCACTATTAAATGTCCGATTCACTTTTCAAATGGTTGCCACCCAATATTATTGCCCTGTACAGTCAAAAGTCGTTAATCCGGACTCGTCGGGATTTTGGCGATTCCGGATTATCGATTTTTTCTGGATTATAGATCATCAGTTTAAATCTGGTAAGATGGCATGCAGAAATTACAAAATTAAAAATATGAAACCGTAATTTATGAAATAAAGAACAATTATGATCTAAAGGGTATCAAAATTTACAAAAAGAAAAAGCTTAATATTTATTTGTTTACTTTATTAAACATTTCTTTCAATGTAAGTTGTTTAAGTTGCTTTGTTTCATGTGATAATACTTTCTCTTTAATTCTATTAAACAGACATAATTTCTTGTTCAGTTACAAAGTTCCGCTGTTCAAGTCCTATAATTGCTGTGTTGAGAATACCGACTAATTTGTCAATCGAAATTTTTTCGTTTTCAATAACCTCTGGGTCACTTTCTTCACTATCGGAAGCGAATTATAATGACGAGGAACTTGATTTAAATCATATCAAAGACAGAGTACATCGAATCAAGTAGAATCATATCAAAGACGATACATCGAGATGAAATACTACATTTAGTAAGGAATTATAAGCCAAATAAAATAAAAACATCTGCCCTGAAGATAAGGATAGTGCTGACAGATCAACTTCCAATTCATTGCGCGCCGCGGCGTGAAATTGATAAACAGATTTCGGATTTCGAAACATACTTTCGCTTTGTAGATCCTTTACATATTAGTAAATATATATCGGAAATTCTATTTGACATAATCGAAAGTTCAAGCTTACTTTTATAAAATTGCTCTAACAGTCTGCAAAAAATAATAAGCCGAATCCAATTCAAAGATTAAGGAACAACGCAATCTGCAACATTAACTGAATTAGATAATTTTAGCTTAGCTTATACCGTCCGTTACACATTAAACGCGCATGCGCACACACATATTCGCAGCCGTATAGGTCTTACGCGTACTCGTAAACGCCTGTGCGCATGCGTGAACACGACGCATGCGCAGAAAGTTTGTAGCTTTGAGATCCGGATTATGGGTGTCCGAATCAATGACTTTTGACTGTATTATATTTAAAGACATTAAATAATGAAGAATCTGCATAAATGTATGTATGTTTCTCCCATTGTAATAAAACAACGGTACCTAGAGCCATCCAGTTTTAAATAACGTATGTTTCCATCTGAATATGGGCGTCTGGAAGCTCCAATTTGGAATTTGTTTTATTTGTTATTTCATATTTTGTAAAACTTTAATGACTTTTTGATTAACAAACTCAAATTGCTACAGATCTCTACAGATTTGAGACTCTGTATCGAAAATTCTAAAGATATGCTCATTTTAAAACTAATTTGCGATATTGCTGTTGACTGAATTTTATGGTTTGAGTGCGATGAACATGATATTTAATAAATAAAGGTAACACACAAAATGTTAAAAAATGCCCCTTTGGACGTAATTTAAAATCCGAAACCTTTTAGATTTTTTTTTATGTGCAATTATTGTTTTTAATTTTAAGTTCCAATGGTTTTTAGAGTGTATGTGGGATACAAAGAATGGTATTTTTTGTCTTAAATTTTATTTTAAAATATGTGCCAATGGAGTTTGCCAGCAATGGAACAAACTGTGCTAAAATTTCTGTAAGAATCCACAATTTTGCTAAGCATTCTCTAAAGTGAAACAACATGGAAATGCATTTCATAGATAAATGTTGCCGAGGCTCATGTGATGTCAAGTCTCTTCAGTTCTCCGACTTTTATCTAAGCAAAGACTGTGTACTTTGGGGGGGGTGAATTACAGAAGGATTTGGAGAAGAATGTGTTTTATTTTTTTATTGCATCATATAATCCTTATTTAATAATTAAAAAAATTCACATTTTAAATTGCTAAAATGTGTTTTCTTTTCATATGCTGATAATGTTCATTGATTTATGATTAATATATTGATTTATGATTAGGAAACTTTATATATAAAGTCACAAAAACCACCAACTTGCACCCAATTAAGGAACTTTTACCATTTCATTCGTAAAAAATCTCCAAATTGTCCCAAGGTGGCTGAATTAATAAGTACAATTAGTTCTACATGCTTAACACATTGATGTCGGCCTGACCCACTGACGGATCATACTTGTCTGTTCCGAGGGTGGCATGACGGTCAAGCTTGATTGTTCCGCGAGCCGGCATGACTCACCGATGGGTCACGCTTGTATATAAAAATATATGTAGTATAAAATTCCATTTTATTTTAATTATTCAATGGTATACATTAGAATTTCAACATTATAATCAAACATTCAGTACAAAACAAATAACTTAAAAATGTAACTTACTAATAAAATATAATTATTAATTTTTTCTATGCAATTTTTTAAAGCAGGGTAACTGAAGTGCCAGCTTGCCCTTACAATTATTGCAATATGTTGTTACTTTCTTTGCTCTATTTGTAACAAAAATCAAAGACCAAAATCCGAAAGATGCCGAGACTATACATCAACAGTTATTCTGCACAGGCTCTTATTATACGTATATAATCCTTAATAATAATTAGACTCAGTGAGTCTACTATTAGAGCATCTGTTTATACTTTCAATATTTATAGAGAAAGACAGAAATTTTATCTGCTTGGATTCTGCACATGCTTCTTGACGAATAAGAATTTTATTTAACACTTAACATAGTAGCTTCACAGTTGCCTTGAATTAAAGCAGGAATTCTCTACTTGGTTATTATTCAATAAACAGAACAAAATACAATATAAAATTCGATTAATACCAATGTCGAAACCTGATACCATCCACAAAAAAAGAATACATAAAACAAAGTCTCGTGTTCATTCAACAAAGTTATTCATAAAACAAAGTCTCACTGATACCTCTCGAAGTTTACTGATGGCATTACGTGACACTATTTGTGGCATACTGAGTCCTCTTAGTAGTGTTCTGAATAGTGCTAAGCAATTACAGCATTCTTTGCATCGCTTTCTCGTCTTCCTGGAAAATCCTTTGTAAGAATTTAAACAATTTTTTTCGTTTTTGTTATTAATACTTCAATAGAATGGTTCACATAATGGATGCACCCCGAAACGGGATCGCTAATTCAAGCGCTGCCGCACGAAAAGAACAATGAACATCCATGCCACCATCAACATGTTAATGACACCAGTTCCTTTTATTCACATTCTAGATGACTTAATACATATATACACATTATTCTTAATTATAACAACAAATTATAAATAAGTAGATAATACTGCAGCTTACATTAATAATTGTGTCTTTGTCCCACGGATGTACAGTCACCAAATCTATGAGCTCACATGACACATTAAGCTTATCCTGAGCTAGTTGGCACACTTCACGCAGCACATGAACTTGTGTTCCCCATCCTACTACTGTAACATCATCTCCTGTAATAAAATTGAAAAAATACAGTAAATATATAATAAAACACGAAAATGAAAAATTTTTACAAAATAAAAATTACATAATTTTTCACTGCATTTTATACCGATATTAGCCATTTGCATGACCAGCCACCTAAAGTAATTACTGCAAAAAAGAAAATATATATATATATATATATAGGCCTAGCTAGTAATTAAAAATAATTGAAAAAAATCTGCTTAACAACAGAAATTTTATTTACAATAGAATTTAAAATAGAAATATTAACTTGTGCTTTGCTAAACAACACATTGCCTCATGTAGCAGTGGCAGTACATTTTTTTAGATCACCAAGGTTGTCGATTTTAATTCGAAAGACAAATATTTAGTAGCATGCCAAGTGGCAACAAACTTCTTTTTTATCGCAGGCAGTGTTTCCTGGTTACGTCTCAGACATAAATAATTACATTTTGGTGAGTGGCAACATAAAGCTTTTATATCGTTGAGTTTTTAAACAAATGTTTTTCAAATTAACACAAATATGAAATAAATAAAAAATTAAATTACAAATTACACTAAATTAAAGTAAAGCAACAAAAATCAGCGCTCTATTTGCAAACTGTCACAAGACTAGTTTCGATAGTTTTACAGAACCATCATCCTCAGTTGCCAAAGTGCAAATGAACGAGATAAGATAAAAATGGTTGGACAAAAGTTAAGCTCACATGACACATTAATGGTGGTGTCTTCCATTGGTGAATTAGATTTTCACATTTTAAAAAAATCTTTCTGTTTTAGTTAATGACCTTAATTCCAATCCATCTTTGCCTTCAGCCTTTAAGGAAATTATATTTTAGTTCTTGTTTCATCAATAGATGGTGTCAGCAGCTTAACTTTTGTCCAGCCATTCTTATCTTATCTTATTCAATCACTATATCTTATCTCATTCATTTGAGCTTTGGCAGCTGAGGATGATGGTTCGGTAAAACCGTCAAAACTAGTCCTGTGAAAATTTGCAAACATAACGCTGATTTTTGCTGTTTGACTTCTAACTTAATATTTGTTCAGAGTGTTATTTTATCTTAATTACAAATTACATATTTGGGATTCGTAGTACATGTGTTCAGACGAAACAGAGTCTGTTCAAAACCCGGTGGCTCTCGGCGCAAATGATTTTCAACAAAGTCGTCAAATTCAAAATATGAATAGGTGCTTAAATATTTTGTCACTATGCAGTGCAATTTAGCACCAGTCATGCATAAGCATGATGTAAAAACACACTTATGACATCTATGCTTTCGCTTAACCCTGACAGTGATTCTCAATAAGCCATCTTGTTTTACGAATAAGGATATAAATTAAGTTTTATTACTCTGTTTGTCCCCCCTCCATTTTGAAAAGAAGATTAAAATTTAAAAACTGACTTCGAACAGCAAACAATGCTTTATTTTCAAAATGATGAGATCCTACCTGAAAAAAAAAAAAAAAAAAAGGTATTAATGGATACTATAGAGCAGAGTTTCTTAAACTATGGGTCGCGCCCATGGGGGTTTTTGATATATCTTTGACTTACTATAATAATTTTTATAATTACCAAATATTTTAACACAATGTATCTAAAAATAGATAAAGCTAAGACAAAACAGGCAAACTAAAAATGAAAACATTTTGAACGCATTCTTTTTATAAAGAAACGTTCATTTTACTTGCTTTGCAAATGACACTATCATTTTGTTTGATACTTATTTAAACTTTTCACATTGTTCTCTGTCTTAGGAATTAAAATTAATGACCTAAAACTGCAATAGTATATTACAGTACAAGTGAAAAAATTTACAGTTTCACTCACGCGTGTATCAGATTTGAGCAATGCTTATGAGGTCCCATAAAATTTTCGTAAATATTATGAAGTCCTGGGTTCCCAAAAAAAATCTCAGCGATAAAAAGGGTCATGACTGAAAAAGGTTTAAGAAGCCCTGTTGTAGAGTCAACTGAATATGACGGACAAAATAACAGAAGACTGGAACATCTACCTACAGAAAGTTTGCACTTACAACATCCTATCTTTTCACAAAGGTCATATTGTTAAACATGAAATAAAAAAAAAATCTAGCACTTACATATTAATTAACATAACTATTTATGTGTAATTTGACGATTTTTTAGAGAATAAAAGTTACTTATCGAGTGCAAAATGGGGGGGGGGATTTTCGCACCTTTTTTACTTTCCTTGTATGAAGTAAAGGAAGTATTGTAATCACGAAAAATTACAGGTACCATAGTTCAATGAAAATATGTGTGACATCTTTACATAACGACAGCATAAAGGACTCTTTTTCCCAAAATGAATTATAAATCTGATTTAAAATGGATTTAGAAGAGATTTTTCATGGCATCTGTTCATACGCATAACTCATAAACAAGCAGCCTCAGAAGATTGAAATTTTGTATATAGGACTGCTATAACATGTAGTTGCACACCTCCCTTTTTGGTTGCAATAGGCCACAACAAAAGTATATACAGTCAAAAGTCGTTAATTCGGACACCCATAATCCGGACCTCAAAGCTAAAAACTTTCTGCGCATGCGCCGCATTGACACACGCGCATAGGCATTTACGCGTGCGCGTAAGACCTTTACGACTGCGTATATGCAGAATACGTTTTCGCGTGCGCGTTTAATGTATAACGGACGGTATAAGCTAAAATTATCTATTTCAGTTAATGTTGATGATTGCGTTGTTCCTTAATCTTCGAACTTGGATCCAGCTTATTATTTTTTGCAGACTGTAAGAGCAATTTTATAAAAGTAAACTTGAACTTTCGATTATGTCAAATAGAATTTCCGATGCTGGAGCTCCCAAAGGATCTACAAAACGAAAGTATGTTTCGATGTCCATCAAACAAAAAGTGGAATTGCTGCAAAAAAATGGATAAAGACATGAAGAAGGTGACAGAGAGGTTAGTGAAAACGAAAAAATTTCGATTAATTTCGAGTGACAAGTTAGTTGGTATTCTCGGCACAGCAATTATGGGACTTGAACAGCGGAACTTTGTAACTGAACAAGAAATTATGTCTGTTTATAGAATTAAAGAGAAAGTATTATCACATAAAACGCAGCAACTTAAACAACTTACATTGAAAGAAATGTTTAATAAAGTAAACAAATAACTATTAAGCTTTTTTTTTTTTTTGTAAATTTTGATACCCTTTAGATCATAATTGTTCTTTATTTCATAAATTACGGTTTCATATTTTTAATTTTAGAATTTCTGCATGCCATCTTATGAGATTTAAACTGATGATCTATAATCCGGAAAAATCGATAATTCGGAATCGCCGAAGTCCAGATGAGTCCGGATTAACGACTTTTGACTGTATATATATATATATATACCCACTCTGTTACTCGGCTCAATGAGCTCAGCTTTTTTATTCTTATATGTTGGTTAATTGCATATTTTTTGCTTTAAAAATGATTGAATTATGTTGTTCTTACCTTCCTGTTAAGATTTTTATGCCTTTAGCTAATCTGTATGCAACATTAACAGAATTATCAATTTAAAAGTTAATTTAGAAGTCAAACAACAAAAATCATAATTATATTTTCAAATTTTCACAGGACTAGTTTCGATGGTTTTACTGAACCATCATTCTCAGCTGCAAAAGTGCCAAAAAAATATGACAAATGTAGCTAAAATGAAACAATAAGTTGCACATAAATGAAAAAAATGACAATCACTCTCTTCTCTGTAGCTATGGAAATACCAGACACATGTGAATCAAAATCTATGGCTTCTAATTGGTAAAGTAGTAGCCCTTTCATTTCCTACCCCGACCTCCAAGACAGGAGGGCACACACACAATGTAAACCCGTGGAGAAATTTTCCCAAACTGATAATTCCCAGGCAACAGCATACAAAAGTTCTCTTGAAAGGGGACAAAGCCCTTGCAGAAAAAGTGCCCATGCAGTAACTAGCATGTGTTAATTATTTCATCACTGATGCAATGAATTTGGTTATTTCACCTCCCTTGGTCTTGTAGTTTAAAACATTGTTATATGGAACTTTGAAAGCAATAATTATTGAGTTTTAAATTAAATGAGCAATACAATGCAAAGCTCAAAACAGAAAACTTGCCTCCGGCATACTAAGAAGAAGAAATAAATTTCTTTAATTTCAATGGCAAACTACAGAATATTTTTCCCCTTGCACCTATGATGCGAAAGCATGCTAAATCATAGAATTCATCCAATCCTTCACACTGCAGTTGAAAAGGAAGAAAAGAGAAGTATTTACTTTGCACATTGCAAATATTTTGTTAGCTGAATGATGATGCTCTTCAGCATGCATAAATGTCAAGAGACTTGTCTTACATTGTCTGTAGAACATGGTGGAGGGTGGTTGTTACTTGAGGACAAATATCTGGAAACGACCGCTGGGGGTAGGAGACCCGGTGTTCGATCTGAAGGTGTGGCTGCTGGAGGAGTGACACGCTACCTTATAGCCTCTACTCCCGCAGCTCAGCATCGGCCTCCTCGTAGCCACTGCTGGTAACCATGTCGGCTTCAGCTGGGATGGGTTAATGATGCTAGGCAAACATCCCTGGGGATCGACTGGGTGGAATTTCTGGAACCGACCATTTATGGGAGGAGACCTGGGGTACTGCCTAGACAACTGGCTAGACACTCGATTCCTTGGCTAAATAATCAATCTTCACAGAACTAGAGCCATCGATTCTTCGGTGGTTAGTTCCAGTTCAGCAGGGACCATATGGTGCTGTCACGTTTGTTCAATGGCTGTGGGGATGTCACATGGTTTGAGATCGAAGACTCCCTTTGGTTGGTGTAGGCTCCCTTTGGTTGGTGTAGAGGGATGGTGATGTCAAACTCTTGTAACTTGTGCAATAGCACTGTGAGAAAGAGTGGTGATCCTACTCGCACGAATAAAAGCATTGTTGACTTTTCAGATGTTGATATTTGAGTAACCGGCCCCGTAGATTGATTTGTTCCGTTGTTTGTCAGCCTCCATCAACTTTTAGCATTGGGATTTATCCCTCTGCATTGACCATGGGGGGGGCGAGCAACACCCCCTTGGATAGCCTCTGGCGAATAAGTCAATTTGTAAACTTTGCATAGGAGACAAAAGTCTTTGGGGTAAGAGCTCTTTTACTGATGTTCCGTCTATAGAGCATATAGATTTAGTTTGTCCTTATTTGTAATATTCTGACATATTAATGCAAATCATGAAGCTAGTCCATGATTTGCATGTAATTTCATACATATATTTTTGCATCAGAATATATTGTCTTGAATTATGTATTGAATAGTTTCCTAATTAACTTTAATTATCTAATATTTCATACTGAATTTTGTTTATCTCCAAGGAAGTTTTATAAATAGTCATAGTCATGGACTAACATATTTGATACCTGAGTTTTAATTCCTTACTATTTTGTAACTATTATTGAATTTATTTTGACTGCAACAGTAAATTTCTCTTGATTATAAGAATTTTAATCTTATGTGATCACAATTGCGGAATTTTAAGTAGTTAATCACTTATTTAAAATTTGAATGACTGATTGAACAGAATTAAACGAAAAGACTTTATTGGACTTATTTATCAGCAGAAAATAGTTTCAGATATATTTAAGTAACACAGAATTGTCATATACTGTTTTTAAGTATTGAATCAATAAAGAGTTCAATGAAAAGACCTTATTGGATTTCTATTCAGTGGAAAATAGTTTCAGAGATATATAAGTAACATATATCTGGTCATAAACTGTTTTCTTATGGATTATTACAGGAAGTACAAAACTTTTGACTAAAGCACGTCTACAGAATTTTTGGACAAATAAACTCTTACTTTTAAACAATTTTTTGAACAATATCACTCTAAATATTGAAAACAGCAGTATATTCAATAGCATTGATCACAGTCTGATTGATTAAGTACATATAAATTGGTATTTAAGTTACTGAAATATTTTTTGCAATATTATCATAATTCTTTTGCAATGTAATAATAATGACGATTACATTATTTCAATTAATGAATACATATGCTGCACTTTTGTACAAAGAAGTCTTTGATCAATAATATACATCTATTCAGCTTAAAACTTGGTATTGAACAAAATAAAAACCACTGATCTCTCGGGTTCACCTTAGTGATGGCAGTAGTTAGATGGTATTTTTTCCCCCACTGTGTAGGCATTATTCTGCTTGGTCTTACCTTAGGTCAAGAGCCTGCTTAGTGGCATATAAATATAAATAATCCTTTTACGATGAGGGATGGATAGAGAGATACAGGAAGAGATAGCACAAACTAGACTGCACCATTGTCAACTTCAATGAAAGTAGATTCTTGCTATTATGCAATAGAGACTACTTTAAGTTAGCAGATGTCAAATGAGGTTTCTTTATACAGTCAAAAGTCGTTAATCTGGACTCGTCGGGACTTCGGCGATTCCGAATTATAGATCATCAGTTTAAATCTCGTAAGATGGCATGCAGAAATTGTAAAATTAAAAAATATAAACCGTAATTTATGAAATAAAGACAATAGAAGCGAAAGGGGAATCAAAATTTACAAAAAAGAAAAAAAAAAAAATATTTTAAATTATTTGTTTACGTTATTAAATATTTCTTTCAATGTAAGTTGTTTAAGTTTTTCGTTTTTATGTTATAATACTTTCTCTTTAATATCTATAAACAGACATAATTTCTTGTTCAGTTACAAAGTTCCGCTGTCAAGTTCCGTAATTGCGGGCCGAGAATACCGCCTAACGGGACAATCGAAATTTTTCGTTTTCACAACCTCTCTGTCACCTTCTCTATGTTCTTATCCATTTTTGTGGCAGCATCCACTCGAAAAAACGACTCGAAAATCCATTTGGGGATCCAGCATCCAAGCTAAAGGACATAAGGAAATCAAGTACTTTTATAAAATTGCTCTTACAATTGGGATGCTCGAATGGATGCGGCTTATTATTTTTTCCAGTCTGGCAAAAAGAAGACCCGCATCCAATGAAAGAGGAACAACGCCATCATCAATAACTGAAATAGATAGTAAAATCATTTTAGCTTAACCTTCCTTTAAATTAAAAGCGCACACGAACGTATTTTGCGGCTGTGCACACGCATATGCGCGTCTAAAGGTCTTAAGTGCACTCTAACACCTTTTCCATGTGCAGAAGTTTTAGCTTTGAGCTCCGGATTATAGATCATTCCCGATTATGGGTGTCCGAATTAACGACTTTTGACTGTATTTTCCTTTCACAGCTTCAGATTAAACAGCGAAAAGACTATCAAAGCTGTTATTAAAAACCCTGAAGTTATCAAACAAGAACTAATTAGAAAGGAAATCCTTGTTTTAAAAGTACATCAACTCACTTCTGTAAGAGATGGAAACATAGTTAAATCACCACTTTTCCAAGAAGAGTGCAAACGTTCCTTAGAAGGTAAAATAATCTACAAAATAGAAAAACTTTGTGATTTAGATGTATTCATCGTGACATACAAATCTAAATCGGGGCCCATGCAGTGGCATAAATATCAGAGATATAGGCACATACGGGAACTTTGTCACTATACAGCGTGATGCATGAAGTGTACAAAACAACAAGAAACATACACCTGTACCCAGAAAAAAGAGGATCAAAAGTCTGACACTTGTGCCCTCTGTGGTGGAGATCATATTTCATTTTGTCCAGAACTACGGAATACAAAGGAACAAGGTCGTCAACCACATTATCATACCTACAGTGATTAATTAGTGCCCAAGAAACATATTTTCTTGGAAATTGTGAAGAATACACAGATTCTTTACAATTTAACCCTCTCAGTGGCATAGCCTGTTGGATTTGCTTATGATGACTTGTACTTAAACAGCTCCTATTAGATAAATGCATATAATTACTCAGTTTGTAGAGACATTAGGTTATTTTGAAGCAGGAAAGATGAAAAATGAGCAGTGCCCTTGCCGAAACTCGAGCCGCAGAAATCTCGAATATGCGTCGAATGTGCTGGCCATTACTCTATGAAGGCATGCTAAGAAGGCGGGAGATATACCTTTATACTTTCCCTTTTAAAGGGTGACTGGGGATTAGGGGACCCAATCGCCAAATCCTGGTTGTGGAGAATCATCATCCACCACCTTTTTTTTTTTTTTTTTTTTTTTTAAAGGTTGGGTGCCACTGCGGTATTTTTGAAGCTGGAGAACATGAAGAATGAGCAATGCCCTTGCCGGGACTTGAACCACGGACCCCTCGAATATGCACTGAGTAGGAAATTGCAATACCGGTATACTGGTTTTTTGAGCCATTTGTACAATTTTGTAACACCGATATTTGTAAGTTTAAATACTGTTTTTTCAGTATTTACATGAAATTTTTAAAATTGTCTTTACTATATGTTCAAGGGCCACCAACACAACAAAATAGTATATGCTTTTGTTTTTATATCTCTCTAATGGGTGAAATTAATTAGAATACAAAGTTGCATTGTACAGTTTAGAGAAGTGATACAATATGTGAATTATCCTAGGAGGCGAGACAAAACTGTCCTGTCCTATTACAGCTCAGAGCAATACTGCACACACGCAGGATTCGTAAACTGATATTCGTAACTGTGAAAACAAGGTTGTAGTTGCAAAGAAAATCTGAAGAAATCTTAAAAAGATATATGAAGGGTTTCAAATTTTAAATTACGTGCAAAGGAGCGTTTATTTTTTTAACGTTTTGTGTGTTACCTTTATTTATTAAATATCACGTTTTTCGCACTTAAGCCATAAATATCAGTTCAAGACCAATGCCACAAAATAATTTTAAAATGAGCATATCTTAAGAATTTCTGATATACAGTTCCATGAGCTGGAGATAAAAAATTTTTTTTCTTCCCCGTAAAGTGCTCGCTTTTAAATCCTTGGGTTTGTGATTCAAAAACTCGTTAAAGCTTTACAAAATATGAAATCGATAATAAAACAAATTCCAGATTTCAAATTTGGGCTTTCAGATGCCCACATTCGTAGTAGGAATACATCATTCAAAACTGGATGGCTTTAGGTACCTTTGTTTTATTACAATGCGAGAAACGTACATACATTTATGCAGATTCTTCATTATTTAATTCGTTATTCAAATATAATACAGAGCGATAGTATTTGGTGGCAATGATTTGAAAAGTGATACAGGCTTTTAAAGTTTTCAATGCACAGTCGCAAAACGAAAACACTAGTCCTTCAGGGACAAAGCCCCTTTAGACTAATAAAAACAGTCATGCCACTCAGAGGGTTAATGGTAGAGATTATCGAGATACAATACAGAACTTAGCACGTTAGAAAATAATGAACAAAAACAAAAATTACTAATACAAAGCACCTTGCAAAAACTATTGATTTAAAAAATAAATAAATAACATACCTTCAATGAGGATTTCAGCCTGAGATAAAGGCAACGTATAATCTTTCAATGGCACTTGCTCTACGGCTGTTCGATACAGGACTTTTGGCTCAAAAAATATACAAGGGTTCTTATCCCGTATGCAGCTCAACAACAGACCCTTTGCCTTCAAAGGACCTCGTGGAATAACAACCTAAAAATGTTTTAAACATATCACATTTTTATGTTTGCAGTATTATTTCTTCATTTGCTTTTACAAAGTAAAAGGAAAAACAGTAATGAAAAAAAAAATTTGAAGCAATTTTACCGAGATCACAAATATCATTTGAATATGTTATTAATAAAAATCAGTTGCTGTATTGTAGTAATGGCTGACCATGGCTGCCCCAGCAGAATTATATAAATATTGGGCTGACGTTAAAATACATAACATATACAAATTGAAGGGTGAAAAGTTTGTATATATAGTTAACTAAAAATAAAATATAACTTTAGGAAAAGGTTTCTGATGTTAAGAAATTAAGTGCTCAGTAGTTTTATGTAGATTATCGTGAAAATATTGATCATGCTTCTTTGAAGGAATGGGCAGAGTAGACAAAGAAGTTTCCTCGTGTTTCAACGTTTTGAATGTAAGCGCATTTCAGTCGATTATAAACTAACTTGGATTTCTTAATTGGACATAGGAATTTTAGAAATGATTTCTTTTGTTTTAATTCTGCGATCGGTGGACTCTGTGCTTGCTTACATTGTAAAAGATGTAGAGTATATCTTATTGGACTGCAAGTTGTAGGGAGTGCCGAAGCTACATTTAAAGTGAGTTTGAGGCATCTTTCTGTTTGCTGACCTCCCATTTTCTGATCTTCTGGGGAGTTCGGATGCTTTTGTTGTCTCCTACAACTTTATTCATTGTTTAACCCCTTAATTGCTCCGAGCGTATATATATATATATGCCCTTCCAAAATGCTATGATTTGCTTTGCGCTGCTAACAGTAAAATTATTTGCAAAACTTTGGAATGCAACATCACAATGACCTTGACAGAGTATGCAAAGGAGGATACTATTTCAGAGAAGGGGGGAGATCTAAAGAGGGGGATTTTTCTGAAACAGTCAAAGTAATGACTGCCCAGTTATTGGTCATGTTTCTGTTTGAGTAAAACGTATTTTTTTTATTGTGCATCTTCCGTTTTCATTTACTGTTTGTAGTAGGTGCTTCTTTTACAAATACATATGACAGTGAAATAGATGACTACTGTCCGTCATCTTCAGGATCGGACACCTCAGAATATGTTATTAAGTCAGATGAAGAGGATTGTGACTATTCTCTGAAAGATGCTGGACATTGGGTACGATTTGATATGAAAAACTTGCCCATGCCGCCTCCACACTTTCCATTTAGGTATACTGATTTTACAAAGGTATAACACTGAAATCTGATATTATACTTTACTGGTATAAAAATAACTTGATCAAAAACTTCATTTTTGGGGATCTTTTTTATTATACAAACATCTTTTTCATTATACTTTTACGACATTAAATTTTGTATTTTCATTTTTTCTTTTATTCTTTA